CAGCTACCCACTACAATATTCTTGCCTGGAGAATTCCACGGACTATATAGTCCGTGGGGTTGCAAAGGGCTGGACATGACTGAGAGACTTTCACAGCCCTGACCTATTCATCTTTGCGTCAATACCTATAAGAAAGATGTCTCCAATGACAGTCAATTAATGTCAGTGTTATTTATTTCTAACAGAATTTGGAGTGATAGCTTGTGTCCTCTTTTTTAAGACCTTCTTCTGCATTACCTAAATGCTCTATAATAAGCCTATGTGATTTTAACACCTTATCAACATGAAGTGATTTTTTTTTTTTTTCCTGCAGAGAATAGAAAAATCACCTCTCCTGATTTTTTTTTAAAGAAACAGAACAAATGAAGCAGGAACTTTCCATCACAGAAACCTCACTGGAACCACATGGAGAGTGTTGATGCAGTCCAGCAAGGAATACAAATCTATCTAAACTCATTATCTATTCTGTTATCTGATCTTTGGGAGGTTTTGTTTTTCCTTAAGCCTTGCCAGCTCTGTAGAAGGCAGAGGAAAACTGCACCCTCCACAACAGATAAATCTTGAGACAGGATGTACATGTCTCTGTTTTTCTACCAATGTATCCTCTAATCCTAGAATTGCTACAGAATCCTTAAAATGGGGCACCTAAATAGCCCTTACATTAAAAGCAAAAATAGAAGATTCTAGGTTATATGTTATATGATATTTCTGTTTAATACTGTATCCTAAAACCAAATTAGCAATATTTTCATAAGCAAAACAAAAAAAAAGCACCCAAAACCCTTTCTTTCTTTCTTTCTTTCTTTCTTTCTTTTTGCCAGTACCTTATTGGTTTGGCTTTTAATAATATTTATGTCAGTATGATGATGAACTAAACTTAAAAGTCTGATTTAAAGTCCAAACATGTATTTATAACAGAGGTTATTTTTCATTCATATTTTTGTAGAATAAATGTACTCAAACATGTAGTTAAATGTTTTATGTGGGCAATGACATCTCAAAACTAGTCTTGTTCTGTGAAGCAATTCTCCCTAAGTAACGAAAATGCCAACTTCAGTATTTCCTGGAGGAGATCAAACCAGGGGACACAGACAAAGCTTGCTGGGACACAGAGATAACATTTTCAGAGGCTTTATATAAGCTGAGCAGAAAAGAAAATAACTGGATCATAGCATGCAGTTTGTTCATCTTGTAAATACACAGCTTTGAATGTTCATCTAACATTCTCTCCAACGTTCTCTTGATTAGGAATTTTCTAGTCAATACGTTACAAATATTCTAACAGGGAAAAAACAAAGCCATTTAAGTCTTGCTGTGCTGTTTTCAGTCATGTCCAACTCTGCAACCCCATGGACTGTAGCCTGCCAAGCTCCTCTGTCCCTGGGCTTCTCCAGGCAAGAGTGCTGAAGCGGGTTGCCACACCCTCTTCCAGGGGATTTTCCCAACCCAGGGACTGAACCCAGGTCTCCCACATTGCAGCCGGACTCCCTTAACAGTCTGACCCATCTGGGAAGCCCATTTAAGTCTTAGCAAGAAGCCATATGGGCTTCCCTGGTGGTTCAGATGGTAAGAATGCCTATAATGCAGGAGACCTGGGTTCGATCCCTGGGTCCCGAAGATTCCTTGGAGAAGTAAATGGCGACCCACTCCATATTACTGCCTGGAAAATCCAATGGACAAATGAGTTTGGTGGCCTACGGTCCATAGGGTACCAAAGAGTCGGATGTGATTGAAGTGACTAAACACCAATGCAAGAAACATACAATCTCGATATTTTAAAAACAAGACTACATCCTAGTGCTTCTAGAGTGACATTTTATGTGCTGTTGTGATTTTTATTGACATTTTATTTGTTCACAATGTAGTTATTGTGAACAAAAAGGCACATATATAGCAACAACAATACAAATTTCACCTCCTCCATTGATTATGTAATCTATGAAGTTGAACAGATTCTTAATCTTTAATTTCCATTTCCTTCTCTGAACTGGGATTGCAAATACTGCTCTACCTAATAAAACTGTGTGAAAATAAATTAAGCGAAATTACGTATGTGAAAATACTTCAGAAGCTACAACCTAGTTTATACCAGCATTTTGTTATTTGTATTTTAGCAGATACAGACCTCTGATATGGTGGTCATTGGGTTGACTGAATAGGAACTCAGTAGAACATATCTATGAATAGAGGGTTTAATTTAAAAAGAAGAGTGTTTGCAGTTTCTAATTTATAATCCCTATAAAATTTTGGAACAAAAAGTAGGCCATAATTATATTCTCATTCAGATCTATGTTTTTACCACATCCTCATTATGTGTTTATTTAATCTTTTCTTAAATACACCCCCTCAAAAATCTATGTGTCTCTTTTGCCTAATTACATCAGTCCTTTTGTAACTGACTGATTAATTTTGAAAAATCCAAATCATTAGGAGATTCTTCCTTGCATAAAAATAAAATCTACACTTCAAACTTTCCACCAGCCATCCTAATTCTTCTTTGTGGTATTGCAAAGAATGGATAAAATCCTTTTTTTCTATATCAAACTTAATAATAATTCTCAATTTCTTTTTCAAACATGTTTCCCTGCACCATTCAGACATCATTATTTTTCCTTTACTCTTCTCTTTCCCTGACCATTTCCCAGAGATGCAGTTAATCAATAAGTCGAGTGAGGGCTACCTTCAAAAGGTAATCTGATTGGAACCATTTCTCACCAATTTTACTGGCACCATCCTGGTCTAAAGCACCCTCATCTTTCAACTGGACAATCACAAATTTCCTGGTTGATTATATTATTGCTAATCTTGCCCTCCTAGAGTCTTTTCTCAACATAGTGACTAAATTAACATTTTGAATATCTATATCCTATAATAGGACTCTTGAGAGGCCCTTGGACTGAAAGGCGATCAAACCAGTCAATCCTAAAGGAAATCAGTCCTGAACATTCATTGGAAGGACCGATGCTGAAGGTGAAACTCCAATACTTTGGCCACTTGATGCAAAGAACTGACTCATTGGAAAAGACCCTGATGCTGGGAAAGAATGAAGGCAGGAGGAGAAGGGGACGACAGAGGATGAGATGGCTGGATGGTATCACTGACTCGATGGACGTGAGTTTGAGCAAGCTCTGGGAGTTGGTAATGAACAGGGAAGCCTGGCTTGCTGCAGTGCATGGGTTCACAAAGAGTTGGACATGACTGAGCAACTGAACTGATCCTATAAGAGGGCTTCCCAGGTGGTACAATGGTAGAGAATCTGCCTGCCAATGTGGAAGACAAGAGAGATTCAGGTTCAGTCCCTGGGTTGTGGAGATTCCCTGGAGTAGGAAATGGCAACCCACTCCAGTATTCTTGTCTGGAAAATTCCATGGATAGAAAAGCCTGGTGGGCTACAGTCCATGAGGTTGCAAAGAGTTGGACACGACCAAAGAATTGAGCACACATGCACCATACCCTATAATAGCTTCTCTTTGCATTTAAACCCAAAGTCCTTATGTTGCCTATAAAGTCCTACACTGTCTGGTCCCACTTGCTCTTATACCTCCCACTTATTGCCCACCATATCTCCCTCTGCTTCAGCCAAACTCACCTTCTTGCTGTTCTTTGAACATGCCGGCCTCATACTCACCACCTGTTACACTGGCTTTTCTCTCTGCAGAGTATACTTGTAGATCTTTCCATGACTGGCTCCTCAACACTTAGGTCTCTGTTCAAACATCACCTTCTGATATAGACTGAATATTTTTGTCCCCGCCCCACCCCACAAATTCACACGTTGAAATCCTAACACCCAAGGTGATGTTATTAGGAGGTGGGGCTCTTGGAAGAGTCTGTCCTCATAAACAGGATTAGTGTCCTTACAGAAGCAGCTTGAGAAAGCTCCCCTGGAGCTTTCTGCCATGGGAGATCACTGTGACAAGATGGCTGGCTGGGTCCTCAGCAGGCACTGAATCTGCAGAATCTTGATCCTGGACTTCTCAACCTCCAGAACAGTGAGAGATAAATTTCTACTCTTTTCAAACTACCTTGTCTGTGGTAGTTAAAGCAGAAGGGACTCAGACAGCTCCCCAGATAAGCTCTCACCACCCAGCTGAGAACAACAACACACTTCCTTCATTGTCTCAGTTATGTTCATAACATCTTTTAATATCTGAAATTTTACATGTATATTTGCTTATTACTTCTTACCCTCTCTAATATACAATCTCAAGGGAGCAAGAATAATATTTATCTTGCTTATTATTTCGCCATAAGTCATTCCTATCATACACAACCATGCAGAAAGAATTAACACAGCAAGCCTGAGTCTGACATCCTTAGGAACACCTGCTTGGAAGGCTGACCTTTGGCTGGCATCAGAGAACTTAAATAGCCAACAATTTTCTGCACTAACACAAAACTTTCTCTAAATGATAAGCATAATTTACCATACCTAGACTGTCTGTTCAAAGGAGGCTGCTTATGTTGAATACTTGCTTTCCTTCTGGGAGTCTGGAATCTTGGTATTTGCCAAGCAGAGGAAACCTATGTGACCAGCCCCCAGTAAAAGCTCTGAGCTCTGAGTCTCTAATGAGCTTCTGCAGTTGACAACACTTCATGTGTGTTCTCGTAAGTTGCTGCTGGTGGAATTAAGCACATTCTGTGAGGCTCCCCTGGGCGGGGTTTCTTGAAAGCTCGCCTTGGAGACTGGCATCTAGCTTCCTGTGGGTTTTGCCTCGTGCACTTTTTCCTCTGGTTCATTTTTTATAGTCTTTCACTGTAATATATGTTAGCCATGAATATAATTAGCTGCTGAAGCCTTCAGGTCTTCCTAGAAAACTAGTGAACCTAAGAGTAGTCTTAAAGACCCTGGACATAGCAATCAAGATGCTCACCTGGACTGCTCAGCTGAAAATAATCAAATAGAACAGCACATAAAGGAATCCCATAACATGGTGATGAATCTTCAATGAAAATAAAGCCCACCCTTACCCCTATCATGAAATCCATTGACTACTTACGTGACTGGCCTGTAGATCTCCTTAACACCAATGAACTGAAGTTGCTCCATGATGTCTGGGATACTTGCACATCGAGTAAGATTAATTCTTGGGTAATAAAGAAGGTATGAGAGACACATTTCATTCCTGGTGCTTAATCCTCCCTGAAAATGGAGATATTTTATTTAGAAAAGTATATGGTCCACCAACTCTGATACTTATAGCACACAAACCACAAATGTTACACAGTTTCTTCCAATATTGAAATGTCACCCATCTTAAAGCTGAAAAATAATCACCTAAATGACAATTTGGTTTTCAAAAAGACAGTAGCACTTTTTAAATATTTCCAACTCCTTAAAAGTTATCTTTCTTAAAGAACCTAATAATCTCCTCAAAGTTCTGTTTATATGGTGTAAAGTCTCACTATAGTGAACGTTTCAGAGGATGTTTAGCAACATGATACCAAGCAGTGTGCTGGAATCTTTGCCTGATTGCATTGAATTTTCTATAATCTTGTTGTCATAAATATCAGCATCTGCATACCACAGGGGAAACAGATTACATACTTTAAATCTAAATATAAATAGTGGACTAATTTAAAAAAAGATCAAAGATCCTCCAAAGAACAGAATCTGGAATTGCTACCGTATATTATCTACAATGTCCAATTTTCAACCAGAAGTTATTAAACATGAAAAGAAACAGGAAACTATGACCTGTATTCAGAAGTAGGAATGTATTGTGAAGGATACAGATGCTGGATTTAGCAAAGACTTAAAAACAGACATACACATGTTTAAAGAGCTAAAGAAAGATGTTCAATTAAGGATAAATAAGCTAAAAATGAGTTAAAAAAAATAAGGAATAACATCAGAGAAAGGAAAACACACAAAAAAGAACCAAATAGAAATTCTAGACTTGAAAGATACTATAACTAAATTAAAAGTTCACAGGATGAGCTCAACAGCAACTTTAGATGGCAGAGGAAGGAAGCAATGAATTTTGAAGATTGATCTCTAGAAATCTCCCAACTCAAAGAACAGAGAGAGAAAAACTAAAATAAGTAAAAAGCAACCCAAGAGAGCTATAAGAAAATACTAAATATTCCATGTATGCAACCAAAATGGGCTTCCCTGATAGCTCAGTTGGTAAAGAATCCACCTGCAATGCAGGAGACCCTGGTTTGATTCCTGGAATGGTAAGATATGCTGGAGAAGGGATAGGCTACCCACTCCAGCATTCTTGGGCTTCACCTGTGGCTCAGATGGTAAAGAATCCTCCTGCAATGCAGGAGACCTGGGTTCAATCCTTGGGTTGGGAAGATCCCCTGGAGAAAGGAAAGGCTACCCACTCCAGCATTCTGGCCTGGAGAACTCCATGGACTTTATAGTCCATGAGGTCACAAAGAGTCGGACACAACTGAGCGACTTTCACTTTCACTTCATGCAACCGAAGGCCCAGAATGAGAAGGAAGAGGAAAAAAAGAGTAGAAAAAACTATTTGAAAAAAATGGTGGAAACCCTCACATATTTAGTGAAAAGCATTAACTTACAGACCCAAGAAGCTCAACAAATGCCAAAGACAATTATGAAGTGAGTCATACCTAGACACCTTACAGTCACATTGCTGAAAGCCAAAGACAAAAAGAAAATCTCAAAAGTGGCAAAGTAAAATGATACACTGCATACAGGGATCAACAATACAATGGACAACTGGCATTTTATCACAAATGATGGAAGTAACGATACTGGAATTATATATTCAAGTGCTCCAGAAAAAAGAAATTATTCAAGAATTCTGTATCCAGCAAATCCTCTGTCCTTCAAAAGTGAAGATGAAAAATGTAGCAGTAGTGTTCATAGCTATACATTAATGTAGCATAGTGGCTAATATGCAATGATTTTACAAATTGCAAAACATCATGCCTTGTACTTGATGAAGGGTTGGGTAAAAGAAGAAGCTGATCTACAAATGAGGCTGCAACTGACATCTCAGTAAATATATTTAATCTACCCTTGAGCTTGGATGGTTACTCAGAGTTACACCAAATTGTAGGAAGGGAATCAAGCTTTTGCATTTTCACATCAACCAGCCACTGAAGACAGCATGACTTTAAGTGAACCATCCCCTGATATCAACAGCAACATCTGGTGAAGGCACACTTTGCTTAATCAGTATGCTTTATGTGTTGCAACTTTTTTTTCAGTTTAAAACTTATCTTTTCACCTAATAGTGTATTTGAAGTGACCAAAAGTGTTAAAGTAGACAAACTTATCAATCTTCTAATTTAGAGTTTGTACATTTCATATTTTAAGAATTTCCTACCTACCCCAAAGTCATAAAGTTATATATATATATAAAATCTCATATATATTTTTATTTATATATATATATATTTACTTCTCCTAATGATTTTAAAAATTTTATTCTTCACATGTTAATACTTAATTTACCTGGAAATTATTTTTTGTGTGAATTGTGGGAAATAAAGATGCAATTTTATTTTTGCCCTCTGGCAACTGTACCAGCAATTCTTAGTGAAAAGCCCATCCTGTCCCACTTACCTGAATGCCAATTTCTATCTTAAACCAAGTTTCCATATAGGGGGTTTGAAGTTTCCAGAAACTCTATTCCATTCCACTGTTCTAACTCTTGACCCAAACTACACTATTAATCACCACAGCTTGAAAGTAAGTTTTCACACCGAGTAATTTGTTTCTCATCTTATTCTTTTAGTAGTGTCTTACCAATTCTTAACCCTTTGCTCTTTTATGTAGATTTTATAATTAACTTGCTCCATGTAAAAGCTAAAGTTGCGAAATTTTTAGAAAAAAAATTTTAAAATAGGATAAAACCTTTGGCTAAGGGAAGATTTCTTGGTTAGACACCAAAACCCAAATAATAAAATCTTTATGAATTATATCAAATTTATAAACCAATTTATAAAGAAGGATTATCTTGTATTTTTCCCCCCAAGCCTTCTATCCGTGAACACAGTCTCTCAATCTCTTAAGTGATCTTTAATGTCTTAAAAACTAATAATTTTCTTCACAGAGATCAAACACATCTAATGTTATTTTATTTCTATATAATTTATAGTCTTAAATTATATTTTATTGAGATAGTTTACTACATATTAAAATATAACTAACTTTAGGTATACCAATTTGGGGGAGGTTTTTGATGTGGAAAATGACAATATCTGTGAATAATGTGTTTTACTTCTTTGCTTCTTCCTTTCTGATCTTTATATTTCATTTTATTTCTTTCCTACTATGATAATGAATAAAACCAGCGATAATAAATATCCTTGTTTTCTTCCTGATTTTAAAGAAATACTCCTAGCATTTCATTTAGCTTGAAAACTGCTCTAGATTTTTCACAGCTAGTCTTTAGCTGGTTAAGGAAATTCTCTCTTATTCTTAGTTTGATAAATGTCCTTTTTTACCCCCATGACTGATAAATTTTATGAGTGCTTTTTCTGCTCTGATTGAGGTAATCATAAGTCTTTTTCCTTCAATCTCTTCATGTATAATGGCATTAATGTATCTTCTAATTCAAACCAATTTTACATCACTTAGTTATACCCAAGTCAGTCCTAACTTACATTTTTATATAGTGAGAGATGTGGTTTGCCAATATGTTGTCAGAGTGCCTTCCATCTGGTGTGTGTTGTGGACCTTTCTTGTACTGCCCATGTCAAGTTTCAGTACTAAGATTATGCTAACTTCATAAAATGAGTTGGTAGAAAGCGTTTCCCCATTTTTTTGTGTGTTCCCTGGAAGAGACTGAGGAAGACATGAGTGATTTATTTCTTGAATGTTTGGCAGAACTCCCCAGTAAATCTGCTGCAACCAGATTTCTCTTTGGGTCAGAAGCCCTAAGGTCATGGAATTCATTTCTTTTTGAAGTTTTGATTCATCTAAGTCCAGACTCATGTGCATGGTCATTAGTAACCACAGGTCTTTTATTAATAATATTCGGTGAGGAAAAACTGAAAGATTAAGGATAGCTTTTCATGAAAGAGTCAATAAATTGCACTGCAAATATTACCATAATATCATTAGTTAATCTGATAAAATCTTAAAACAGCTCTGATTTCACTTTTATGATGTTTCATGTTCAAGACAGTCAGGAATTTTGCTTCCAGATAGGAATGCTTTTTATTTTTTTCTTTCTAAAATCAAAGTTTATTCCTCCCCCTCCACAAATAAATTTTAATAATAAAATTCTTCTTACCCAAGTCATCCGGGCTCTATCTTTTGTGTTGTAGCGACACTCAGTAATTAGATTATCTCCCTAAAACATAAAAGTGGAAGCTTTCAGACTGGAGTTTCATGCTGTTTTATTTATCTAACACATCTGTAGGCCAACAGTTTAATCTGCTATATGAATGCATGCATTAAGTCATTTGACTCAAGAGTAGGCTTTTGATCTATTAAATTCTAGGTTTGCTAGCATAATAAGCAAGCAAACAAACAAATAAGGCTCTCTTTGTTCAGGCCAGACTCCACAATGTTCTAGCTGCATGACCTTAGGTAAGGAAATAAATGAATCATCTGGGCACAATTTGTTCAACTAAAAAATAATGATAAAAATAGCACTTATCTCACACAGCTGTTGTGAGGAAATTAAATGACAGAACACACATTTAGTTCTTAGTACAGATTAAACACTTCTTAAGTGTCGGCCACAGATACTAGTTACTGTGATTATCTTCTTATTTACATTATTTACTTTAAAGGTCCTTAGTCAGGTATTTATTTTTGTAAAACAGACTTGTGAGGCAAATTACCAGTAACTTATTTTTTCCAGTACTTTTCAACCTTTTGAACAGTACTGCACAAAAAGAAACTAATTTTTTATGGCTCCCGGTCAGGTAAGTGGACAGGCTATTCACAGACCAGAAGCAGCAAGCTCTGGGTAATAGCCCTCAGATTTGTCCTCGCTGCCTGGATATTCAGAGGGACCAGGAATCAGTATTTCAACATTTATATCTTCTCACGACATATCAGTTGAGGAACTCTGAGATAACCCAAAAAAAGCTGGTTAGAGAGCCCCAACACCAGACAATATCATAAAATGGAGTGAAGTCTTTAAGAATCTTGAGATCACTCAAATTTCATCTTTCTACTCCCAGAGCATACCAGGGAATTACTGCATGTAGAAAAGATATTGCTATTACTCTCATTTCATAAATAGTATAAATATCTGACTTTTAAGAAGAAAACTAGGGTAGGAACTTGTATAACTATTGAGCTCAATGTCAAAATAGAAAATCTGACAAAATGAAGCATCATAAAATTTTTAAATTGTTCATCATTGGAAGGCATAAGATTCCTTTCTGTGTTGTTCCATCAGAACCTCAAGTATGGTTGCCAGCCGGATTACACACAGTAATATAATTAGCTATGTCCTAATACCTTAGTCAAAAGAAAAAATGATCTTATATTCACTTTTATTGAAATGAAACTTTCCAAACTTCTGATCTTACCATTACCAGAACTGCAAGCCAAGGGATTATTAACTGGGGAGTCTAGAAAAATGGTGCTTAGAGCACAAAACCTAAGTTTTATTTCCTTTGAAATCAACAACTTGAGTTGCCCCTGGGAATAGTAAGAAAAACAAGTTTCAATTTTGGAAAACAGATCAAACACATTCTGTGAGAGTTATGCAACAGCCATGGTGGGTGGCTTTGAAGCTATGGATAGGGTGAGCAATTCATTACATCAGGAGAAACCTGGCTAATTCTCAGCAGGTATATGTCTCAGGATTTTGATGACATTCAGTGATAAAGAATAAAAGCATTCATACTGGTAAGATTGTTTGTTCTTCTTTTAGGTACTGAAACTCCTGGAAATTGAAATCAAAATCATCATCGTAAGCGAGTAATCTCATTTCCTCCCCTTTGCGAAAATGACGCAGCCGGATGCCTCTGCCTGCCAGGTGAGCGTGGAGCAGAACAGCAAACACGTGGATGCCACTTGGCTTTTCAGCTTCCAAAGCCTATGGGAGACACAGGGGGGACCTGGTTAGGTCTCCAAACAAGCGCAGACAGGTCACCTTAAAATAGAGTTGGAGGGACGACTCAGAAGAAAAGCTAACACAATTCACGTGAACACGTGAGCTGCCAGACATCTGTAATCTGGGTTTTTCCTGACTTATTCCTATTTTTGTGAAGCAATACTGGCTGGGAGGAAAGAAGAGGAAGTAATGCTTGCTGAGGACCAACTGATCACGTCTACATATTATCTTTCTTTTTTCTTCTTTTAGGAGGTGAGCAAACAGTTAAAGCTTCTGGCAAAAAGGACCCAGTATTTTGGTAGCTTGAAAATTGAAACTCTTAAAAGGAGAATCTACTCCTGCTTTTCCAGATAAGAAAATTGAACCGGGAGAATTAAATTAAATGAATTGCTCACAGTCCTACAGCTAGAGAATGATGTCATGGCAATTTAATTCGTGGTCTAAATGGTCTAAATAATTAAGAAGAGATAACCTTTCCCTTCTACCAGTCTTCGATACTGTCTACAACCACAATATCCTATAATTTATAAAGAATACGATCCATGTTGAAATACTTTCATTCAAGAAAAAAAGAACTATGAATGAAGCAGCCATTATAAAATACTTATATATGGTTTTCTCTTATCCAATATGTATTTTATATTAGTTATTTTTGCTATTTGGTTAAAGAAGGGTCAGTAGCTATAAATCAGAGAAAATGAGAAAAAATGAAAATAAATCATGGAAAAACCAAATATGCATTAAAAAACAAAGTTGAGAAAGCAAAAGGGGACTACACAAAGGTTGAAACCACAAAAGATAAAATGAAGTGTCCAATATGAAACAAACAAACGAAGGGGAAGGAAAACACTGGACTTCTACTCCTGCAGCCTTCAGGACTTTAAACAGCAATAAAGGTCTTGCTAAAATTGTAAACAACCATTTTATAGCATGACAACAAGAAAAAGATTAGTAATAAGCTTGGAATTTTCCAAACATAGTTTCTACAAGCATAGATTAATCTAGGAAAAGCAGCTCACAGACCCAGACACACCATACCTCTTCCAGGCATTCCAGGGTGCAGTGACCCTCAGACCGGAAGTTGGGCAGGCCTGGAGGGATGGTGTGAAAGAGGCTTACCCAGAGGCCAGCCTCAATCACCCCAGCATCGTATTTCCTTATATCTGCCGTATAAAATAATCTCAATCCAGAATTATCTATTAAGCCTGGAACAAGAGCATTTAGACAAGAAAAATTAAAAGTGAGCTTGAGTACTTGAAAAAGTTTTCCATATTCAGCTGAAATAGGTTTATTGATTTTCCTTAAACTCTCACAAGGGAAAGGAATACAAGCAAAGATTAGTGAAAGGCAACATCCAGATTCACAAAGAAAACTTACACAGCGTACCATGGGAAACATGTTTGTATTATCTAATGATACATTCCACAATTATCTAACATGAAGACAGAAATAAAAATTCTAAGTCATTCATTAGAATATATAGTAACTCAGCAGAAGTTTTATTTGATACCGTTTTGAGGTGAAGCTCAGTAACATTTACAGAGAGGTGAAAACCACTTGGTCTGGAAACCATGTGATGATGGAGAAAAATATTAATAATTAACTTTATAGTTTATCACCAGTCTTTTAATAATTCATCAGTCATATAATCAACAAACAATTATTAAGAATCTACGATGTGAACAACATAACAACAGGCATGGTGGGGAGGGAAGGTAAGATACATCTCTTGCTGTGAGATGGTTATCATGAGGAGGAAGAGTATGGGCCCCAAACACTTCATAGATCCATCCCACTTGGAAACTAACTGACTCCTTTCTGCAACAGAGACTTACCTACCTGTGGAATGACCCATTAGGTCAATTAGCATATAAATAATTTTGTATTAATTGTTGTGATTACGTTATTGTTTGCCTTCCCCACTACACTATAATATCCCTGAAGGTGGGGACATTATGTCATTAAGCACAGATCCAGCACGTCCATGGTGCTCAGCATTTGCTGAAAAATTGCACAAATCAGTGTAAAATCATAACCTTGAGTTTCTTCTATTGATAATTTCATAGTGAATCCTCTAAGTTTTTGGTGTTGGGATATTACATAGTAAATTCAGGTGTAAATACTTGCCCCTCTTCATTTCAACATCATATCACACCAGTGTCAACTGCAGTGTCAACACAACAAAATGCTTAATATTTTCTAATGTGACTAATGGTAGCTTTCTGTGTGTGCTTTTAGAAAGAAAATGTTTCATAAGCACCATGGATTTCAGACTAATTTACACCCTAAAGGGAAAAGTCTATTTTTCTACTTTCTGGCAAGTAATGTACCAAATGGTGCAGTGACCACATGTACCCATTTGCCTGGCTCATTGCTGGCCAATGGCTGCTGTCCCAGTGTAACTGTTTATAGTGCCCTTTTCTACTCTAAATGGTATCCTACTTTGGATGACAAATGATAGGTTAATTTTTTTTACATTAAATGCTATTTTATTTGAAGTCTGTTTAACTCTGTTAAAATAAAGGGAAAAGTTACAAAACTTTTAAAAATCATAGGTAGAATGTATAAAAAAATACTCACCTTCCTTATATGTTGGATTGTCATAATGGACTTCCAGGAGCACATAATGAGGATCTAATGGAGTGCCAAGGGATAATCCAACATGAGGTGGATAGGAAAATCCCTAAACAAGCAAAATTCCATGACACAGTGTTTGGTGAAAGTCCCTCAGAGCTCTACTCCACTCAGAAACCAAACATTCTCAATGATATTTCAACATTCTACAACTGTATTCATCTATAGTTGATCAAATAAAGTGGCTTAAGGAAAGAATGATTTCCTGTGGAAAGAAAGAGAACCCACCCTCATATCAAAAAGAGTACATAGAGTTTTACTAAGAAGTGTTAGAATCCTAGGGGGAAAAGTGATCAGTTAACTTTGTTACATCTCAGTAATCAGTGGTCCCACCTCTCCACCTATGGCCCAGGCGAAAATGACAGTCTCACAGGTGAGGAAGGCATCGGGCATGTTCGGGTGGTAGCACTCTTGCCCGTCGTCCAGGACACTGGCACTGAAGCTGCTGCTGCACTGATAGAGCAGGATGTGATGGACCAGACTCTCGTGGCCTTGCTGAATCACGGGCTCAACCTAAACAAGCACGGGTGAGAGGGACGATGCAATCAATAGAACACCCCACAACACCCTCCGATAGGCGTGAAACTAGCATAAATGATCATCGGTTTTTCAAAGGAATAGTTTTCTCAATTGTGTAACTGTTGTGTAGTTGACGATAGCTGTGTTTGCACTCATCTCTGGAGGACTGCATGCCCTCAAGACAGAAACTATTTTCTATTTTGCTTCAAAATGACAGTTACTGTTCAAACAGTTGTATAATATATAACAATGACACAGAAGGGCAGCCCAGGATTTTCTGAGATTGTAGTTTCCATATCAAATTTGATTTGTGTGTGTGTGTGTGTGTATGTGTGTGCACGCGCGCGCACGCTCAGTTATGTCCAACTCTTTGCAACCCCATAGACTGTAGCCTGCCAGGCTCCTCTGTCCATGGGATTTTCCATGCAAGAATACTGGAGTGGGTTGCCATTTCCTCATTGGGTCGACCCAATGATCGAACCCATGTCTCCAGCAGCTCCTGCATTTGGCAGGCAGATTCTTTACCACTGAGCCAGCCACCTGGGAAGGAACTTTTTTGGTGAGAGTATACTTATTTGGGTGCCTCAGTACTCCAAGGGGGACAGGGAACTGCTAATACGTCTTCAGTTAAATATTCAGGCACATGTGAGGATTTTGCTATGTGCCTTCTAAGTTCAGGCCGAACCCTGTAGGTTGTACTGAGCTCTACTAGCTAGGTTCTGGATAAAGCACCTAAGGGCAAATGAGGATGGGCTGCTCCCAAGGCAGCTACCCTGGGCTTCCCTAGTGGTTCAGAAGGTAAAGAATCCACTAGCAATTCGGAAGACCTGGGTTTGATCCCTTGTTTGGGAAAATTCCCTGGAGGAGGGCATGGCACCCCACTCCAGTATTCTTGCCTGGAGAATACCATGGACAGAGGAGCCTGGTGGGCTACAGTCCTTGGGGTCGCAAAGAGTGGGACACGCCCGAGTGACTAAGCGCAGCACACAGCAAGGCAGCCACAGAAACTAGTGGCTTTCACTGGGGCACCACAGGAGGGCGCTAGAGAGCATGCGGGCAGAGTATGTGAGGCTGGAAGGTGCTTAAAGGAGCTTCAGATAACTTCAAAAATTCTCAAAATGAAAAAACAAAAAACTTTCAAGAGTAAGTGACTTTTATGCATAAAATAGACAACGAATGAGAACCTACTGTATAGCTCAAGAAACTGTACTCAGTACTCTGTGGTGAACAAAATGGGAAGGAAATCCAAAAAAAGAGGAGATATATGTATACACAAGGCTGATTCACTTTTCTGTACAACACACACTAACACAGCATTGTGAAGCAACTATACTCCAGTATAATTAATTTTAAAAGTGCTTTTTTATATATAAAGCGAGTGCTGAAACCAACACCACGTTGCCAAGCTCACAAAGTACTCTAGGAACAATAACAGTAACATCTGTCTTTTATTTAGCACCTCGTAAATGGCAACCCACTCCAGTATTCTTGCCTGGAGAATCCCATGGACGGAGGAGCCTGGTAGGCTACAGTCCATGGGGTCACAAAGAGTCGGACACGACTGAGCGACTTCACTCACTCACTCACTCACCTACCAGCCACTATTAAGTCATTTCACATATTTCACTTACTATTTATAACAAATCTGTAAGGTAAATGTTATTGTTTCCATTTGACAGATGAGAAAGCTGATCGAAGGATTCTGCAGCAAAGCCAACCATGGCTAGGAAGTGGTAGATGGGATTTGAAACTAGGCTGGTCTGACCCCGTAAGTTAGCAGTCTTCTGATTGCAACACTCTATTGAAGGAAGATACGTTGGAGATCACCAACAACCTTGGAACTCACTGCCAGTGAGTGGGCAGATGAAAGGTTTCACAGCTGTCAGCAAGAGGGTGATGACACCAGGGAGCCAGCCCCAGGAAGGGCTTCGGGAGCCACTGCTGAAAATCCCCACACAGTGCTGCCATCAAGGGAGCAGCTCCACACTGCGGGGAGCCTCATGCCTGAGGAGTCTCCTGCCTTTCTTTTGCCACCCTGTCCGCATGCCCTGGCCTCTAGGGAGAGGAGACGGACTGCCTTTGTGCTTTCTCCTAAGGAGGGCAAATAACAAGGTCTCTCCTGGAAACCCTGTGAAGGCTTCAAGGAGAGTTAAATTGCAACCCAACCCCCAGGTTACAAATTGATAGTACAGCCTAGAAAATGAGGATTTCCTAGGAAATCCTCCCACAAATACACCCACAAAGCAACAAGGAAACTTACTGCATGCAAACCCAGGTACTGTTCATTGGGAAATATAAGAAGCCTTGGTAGAGGCAGAGTTCTCAGAAAAAAGATGTTTGTTTGTTTGTTTCCTGTTGTGAGATTGAGAGGCAGAGAAAGAGAAGTGCCTGAGAATAAAATGTAAGGATAACTACTGAATAAAGTGTTGAAGTTGGTCGCTCAGTCATGTCCAACTCTTTGTGACCCCATGGACTGCGGCTTGCCAGGCTTTTCTGTCCATGGGATTCCCCAGGCAAGAAAACTGGAGTGGGTTGCCATTTCTTTCTCCAGGAGATCTTCCTGACCCAATGATAGAACCCAGGTCTCCTGCACTGCAGGCAGATTCTTTACCGTGTGAGCCAAGAGGCCGCCAGAAAATATATGAGCTCTCAAACTCTTGAAAAGAGGAGAACTTCTTGATAGAGAATTTTGAGTTGACCATGGGGGATAATTAAGTGAGACACCAAGAATATCCCTCTGGACAGGAATAACCCATTTGGCACAGAGTCCAAGTTCTGGGGACTGTGAACACCTTGATGAGAGCAGGACAGGCCCATTGGCTCACAGCACCCGCTATGGGATAGAATTTCCCATAAAGCTTCCTGTCATTCTTACAAAGCCTAGTGCTGCCAGCCCACGGCTACGAATCTCCCACCAAGTGACCACTGCATATTATCTTCTGCTGCCATGACCATTTCACAAACATTTGAAGCAGTCACAGCACTTGTGTTTTATCCCCTGCTGTGATATCCTTCTTTACACCAAGTAAGAGTGAGGCAGAGACTGGCCAGCACCATCTGAGGAAGGAGACAGAGCTCCGTGACTCTCGCTTGTTGGCTGAACACAAGCATTCAGCACTGCCCTTTCTTGGGCTCCTGGTAACAGTCCACTGGGAAGAATTTTCCTTTGGCATCACTGCCTGATTTGGATCAATGGTGGAGTTCTATACTTCTGCATTTACAAATTTTGGAGACAAACAAGGCTGTAAAGCTTATTTGTCTATCACTACTATAAGGGGAAGTACTTAGAAAGGATCTCCTATTTTGATTCCTACTTCACAGATGTCACATTATCATCACAATCAAAATGGGAATCCCAAAAGTTTCCTCTATTCAAAAAAGTATTGCAGTGACAGATATTGTCACAGAAGGTCATGGCAAGATAAAGTACACAAATATAAATAAATTGGTATTTCTGAGACTGCAATGAACATTTAAGTGAATTTTGCTTTTAAGTTGATTATGAGTTTGGCAGAAGAAATATTATTTAAAAGTGCCTATGGAAGTAGGTAGCAATGACACCGAATATTAAACTATGTCACTGATCACTGTGTTCTTGTACATAAGTAAAATTTACAGACCTAGAACAGATGGTAGGCCATCTTGGCAACAAGCCAAGCAAGGATGATCTAGCAGGTGTGGGTTATCTGTTAGCCTCTGTGCAAACTGAAAAACAGCCCAGGAACCAAAACACAGATAAAAAGAGGGCGAGTCTTTAACCCGAAGGGTTTTAAAGAGTAAAACAGTCCCTTCAGTTAGTTCAAGAAAATGGAACTTTGGGGGTTATCCTTGAGAAGACTTAGCAATAAAAAGGAGAAAAAACGAGAGCTGCTAAGCATAGCCAAGATCAAGATGAAAATTAACACTGACCATAAAGCAGTATTACTGATTGCTGTTTTTGATGTTCCTGGACATCAAAAAGCTGCAAATACTTATACTGTTCCTCACGAACCCATCTTCTCTTTTACTCTCTTTAGCCAGGTCAAAGCAAAGTCCTTGCAACACACTGACTGTTTAATAGCTACTCATTGAATGGAAAAGGAAGTTACTACTTCCTTTTCCATTCAGCCAACGTTAAGGAGGCTGAGTCATCAAACGCATTGCCTCCTAATTTCCTGATCTTCTCAACTCCAGTGACCTAGGCGACATCCCACTTCCTTCACCATCTGCCAGAGATGCAATCACCAAGTCTAGTGAAAGAAAGTGAAGTCGCTCAGTCGTGTCCGACTCTTTGCGACCTCATGGACTGTAGCCTACCAGGCTCCTCAGTCCATGGAATTTTCCAGGCAAGAGTACTGGAGTGGGCTGTCATTTCCTTCTCCAGGGGAAGTCTAGTGAATGCTACCTTTAAAAGGTAACCTAGGAACTTCCCTGGTGGTCCAGTGATTAAGAATCTGCCTGCCAATGCAGGGGACACAGGTCCAAGCCCTGATCCATCTCTGTACCAAGAGGCGCCACCACAGTGAGAAGCCCACACACCACAACTAGAGAAAGCCCATGCGCAGCAACGAGGACCCAGCACAGCCAAAAATAAGTATATGAATAATGAATTTTAAAAAGGTAACCTGAGTGTAACCATGTTTTCTCAGCTTTCAAATACCAATGACCTCAATACTAACACTTGCAAAATAAAATTATTTTTTGCTTAATTCCCCTGTACTGGGTTAAGCAGTGTTCCTGCAAAATTCACATCCACCGAGAACCTCAGAATGTAACTTTATTTGAAAATATGGTCTTTGCACCTGTAATTAGTTAAGATGAGTTTACACTGGCTGAGGATGGGTCCTAAATCCAATGACTAGTGTCTTTATAGAAGAGAGAGGAGAAGATTCAGACTCAGATACACAGAGGGAAGATGGCCATCTGAAGATAGAGGCAGAGATGTGAGTCAAGTTACCAGAAACCAAGTAGTCCCAGAAAGCATAAGAAGCTGGAAGGACCAAGGAAGGATTCTC